GCAGGGAGACAAATGGTAAGAGGGGAAGGAGGGGGGGGAGGGGAAGATATGAATGCTAAGAACTGGTGTGAGCGATCTTCCGTACAAAAGAGGGCAGGTGGCAGAAATGATCAAATCATCAAAGTCCGTTTTGTGTTCTGTCACCCAGTGGTTTTGCAGAACTTGTCTAAGAGGATACTCGCGTTAGGACTTCCCTGGATGTATCTGATCGCAATGACGGCCTGCTTTGGATGTATCTGACCACAATTAAACCCACTAGGACTTTTCTGTGCAAAAGAGGCCAAGTGGCAGAAATGAACAAAGTCCTTGTTGTGTTCTGTCAAGAGGGGAAGGAGGGGGGGGGGGGGAAGGGGAAGATATGAATGCTAAGAACTGGTGTGAGCGATCTTCCGTACAAAAGAGTGCAGGTGGCAGAAATGATCAAATCATCAAAGTCCTTTTTGTGTTCTGTCACCCAGTGGTTTTGCAGAACTTGTCTAAGAGGATACTCGCGCTAGGACTTCCCCAGATGTATCTGATCGCAATGACGGCCTGCTTTGGATGTATCTGACCACAATTAAACCCACTAGGACTTTTCTGTGCAAAAGAGGGCAAGTGGCAGAAATGAACAAAGTCCTTGTTGTGTTCTGTCACCCACTGGTTTTGCAGAAGTTGTCACAGAGAGTATATCCGCATTAGGACTTCCGTGGATGTAGTATCCGGTCGCAATGATGGCCTGCTCTGGATGTATCTGACTGCAATTACCCCCAGAGATCAGTGGAAAAGGTCGTTGTGCGAGTATGCCTTAAAGATTCCTTCTCTTGGCATTGGCATCTCCTCAGCTTACTGTTTGCTTGCCTGCAACACTTCTGCCGCTCACATGCTGACACGTGGCAGGTGACATACATGTCAGAGGAATGCGACATTGAGAAGTTTCAGTTCAGAGCATCGTCTGAGATTGAAGCGCTCGCCTGGTTGCGGACATTGATTGCCTTCAGGTAAGGTTTCCGTTCTTCAACCTGGCAACTTGGCTTGAGAGCTTTGTGGTCCTTGACCTGCCAACGTGTCTTTCTTCTCCATTACTGTATTGTTCTCTGACTACATCGGAGTTTGAAGTCACGACTTGTTTGCCAACAGTTGCATAAGTCTGAACCTGAATAACTCACCTGGTTGGAGAATCAGGGGTGAATTGTGTGGTGAATCCCTGCCCCCCCCTCGCCTCGTTATGCTGCTGAAAGTAGACTAGAGTTAACCTGGCCCCTCATTGTCGTCTGAAACTAGGCTATAAGTAACCTGTACCGACCTTAGCACTGCTACGACAGTTTAACCAGAGTCATTGCCATGATGGACCAGATGGCTAGAGGCGGTTCGGCACTACGGACCCTAGGGTTTTGGGAACTGGCTTGGCAACTTAGTACAGTAACTGGTTGGGAACTGGCTTGGCAACTTAGTTCAGTAACTGGTTGGGAACTGACTTTGGCATAGATGCTTTCCTAAGAAGTGGAAACGATCATGAAACGACTGAGAAAAGACATGCACACTGTCTTCTTCTTTTTCTTCTTCTTCTTTTCCTTCTCTTCCTCCTCCTCCTCCTCCATTCTTGTCATCGTCAAATAAAAATTGCATGTGAAAAGACCGCGGAAAGACTCGCATGTTCACACTGTTATCTTCTTCTTCTTGTCTTCTTCTTCTTCTTCTTCTTCTTCTTCTTCTCTCTTCTTTTTCTTCGTCTTGTCTTCTTCTTCATTGTCATCGTCATTGTCCTTGTTGTGGTCTTCTTCTTCTTCTTCTTCTTCTTCTTCTTCTTCTTCTTCTTCTTCTTCTTCTTGATCGACTTTGTTATGATCCTGGCCAATTTCGAAGTACACATTCATCAGAAAGTACAATGCCGTCCACTTGCAAAAAGAAATGAATGAACTTGAGAAGGGAGAGAGGGTTAGAAGAGGAAGTAGAAAGAAAGAAGAAGAAGATGATGTACACCAGCATAGACCAATGAGAATGCTCTTCTTCATCGCCAATCACTCTCCTCGTCCTTATCTCCTCCTCTCTTATTCATACAAGAAATCATAATACAATGTCGAGTGGCTGAACCAGAATCAATGTCCGAATCCTTCTTCTACTGCAGGTATCACTTGAGGTCCACCATATCCATGGCCGCCTCTCTCCTTCCTCCTAGGCCGAGGCTATGGCGGACTACCAGGGCATGGGCCGACTTTCCAAAGGACCACACGAAGCAGCTATGGCTGCTCTAGCTCAGGCCGCCATGCCTGACTCTGCCTCAAAGCTTCTTGGTGTAGCTCTGCCCCAACGGGGGCCTTCCTGCTGCAGCGCCCACACCAGGTGATGAAGATGGCAACCACCATAGCCAGGTAAGTACCTCTGGCGCTCCCCCTTCCTCCTGGTCTTCTTCTTCCTCCGTGTCCTTGCTCCTTCCCCAGTAGTGCTGCTCCAGCCAGCGATCCAACCAGTGTGCCGCCAAACCTGCACACCGACACTGAGGCTGGGCTCTTCGTCTGGCCTGGAGATATAGCGGCCTGCTTGCCTCTTGGGTGGTGACTTCCAGGCCGCTCGGCCTTCCAAGCAACCGGTACCCCCTCCCTTTTGGAGGGAAACATCATTGCAGACTCTGATATTGCCTGTACAGGCCCTAGACTTAGACTGGTTGGACTGGTACCCGCCTAGACCTAGCCTACAACTACTGGGCCTCTAAAAATGCCAACTTTTGCTCGGCCTCGAGTACCCGGCACATCTACCTCTTCAGGGTGTGGTACCGGCCTACCTGCTACTTGAGTGTTTCCCAGCTGCTTCAAGTGTTGCGGGCCTCTTCCCCCACCACTTGAGTGTTTTCCCCCGCTGCAATCTTCAATGTTTTTTGTCACGGCCACAGGTAAGTACCGGCCTCGAGGGCCCAACGAACGAACAAGTGCCCTTGCGGGTCACACACACACTCAAGCCAACAAACACTCAGATAGACATGCAGACCAGCAAGCGTGCACACGTAGAGACTTAGAGAACTTAGTAGCAAGTGGGAAACTCAGCAAGGCATTCAGTCCATGAGCAAAACTCAGAAATCAGTTGTGTATCTCAGTTCGTGTTTGGTAGGGTCATCACACTAAACCCCCCTTAAGAGGGAGGTCCCTTCGAGCGAGTAACTCAGTGTGAGTCCCTGATAACCACATCATAAGCAAATAAAGCAAAGAGATTTCAAGAGTACTCTGTCGCAGTGAGCTTTGCAAAGATTTTGCGAACAGCATTAAAGGCGATTTGTTGTTAGTAGGCTTTAACAACACGAGATGCATTGCGCAGCAGTTCCTTCTTGGAGATCCTGTAGAGATCGTCCAATGGGTGATACATAAAATGAACCTGGTACTGTCTGTTACGTCCCTTCCCTACGTGCTGTTTGATTCTATCGATCTCATGACCGCCATCGATTGCACAAGAAATCATGTCTTCACGGTTATCGAAGGACTTAGCATCATGGTGGATATACAAATTTGATGCATGAAAGACGGGGTATGTGCGCAGATGAGGTGGCACAACAACTTTGTACGAGGGTCCAAACCCATCCTTGCCAATCACATCCAGAACTTCCCACGGACCATAATAGAGTAGAAGAAGTTGCGTGAGACTCCCTCTTCTTTTGAGAATTCAGACATCTTGACCTAGACATAACTTCCTACTTCGATATCCGAAGGGTGACGCTTGTTGTTCGCATAATGGATCATTGCGTGCTGCGCTTGGTCATTGCTGCGATGGCAACTTTGAGCAAGCGATCGTACTTGGCCCTGAAGCCAGGCTTGCCGGGTGTTAAACCAGTTGGCTGTTCAGGGAATAGGTAGGGAGAGCGGATTATGAATCTGCCAACCGTAATGCAGCCTGTTTGGCGTCATGCCGGTGGAAGAATGAATGGAGTTGTTGTACAACCCCTTGACGGAATACAACTCTTCATCCCACGTCTCCTGCTCGAGACTAATTAAAGCGTGAAGAAGTTGGAACACAGTCTGGTTGATTTCCTCAACCAAACCATTGGCTTCAGGATGTCGCCTTGATGTCATACATAGTATGAGGCCAGGGAGTTGCGACGTGAAGCCCTTCCATTCGGTACTTACGAAGCGCGGGTCCCGATCACTCACAAGAGTTTTTGGGTTTCCTAACTGTAGTGAGGAATTTAGAGAATCGGTCAACAATCAGCAAGACTTGCGAATGGCTGTTCTTACTTACCTTTACCATGTCGGTGAAGTCGATAGGAAAAAAAAAAAAATCGATAAAAAAAAAGGATAGAGATTATTGTTTTTTGAATTGATTGAAATAAGAAAATAAACTGACAAATGATATGCTTATTTTTATTGAAGAATCATTCTAATTTCTTATTTGTTCCAATTATTTATGCCAAATCAAATTSAATCAATAATTGAATTTGAAAAAATACACTTTTTTAGACAATTACTACTAAATTGAGTATATGTTTAAAATGTTAAAAACAAAAAGGAGAGATGGCTGAGTGGTCGAAAGCGACAGATTGCTAATCCGTTGTACGCGGACTCCCCGGGCCCATCGGGAATGGGAAGGGGTGTAAGTAGCCCCATGGGCTTTTGTCTACATGGTTTGATTCGTTGACAGACTTGACACTCAGCCACAAACTTTTCAGCAGATCCCTTCATACAAGATCAATCAAATTGTCTTAATAGGGAAGGGGTGTGAGTAGCCCCACAGACTTGACACTCAGCCACAAACGTTTCAGCAGATCCCTTCATACCAGATCAATCAAACTGTCTTAATATGTTTTCGTACGTCTTTGCCATGCCGAGGTGTTCACTCCGGTCATGAGCCAAATCCAAGAAGTGGGAGAGGCTCATGGTTGGGCACACACAAATGGTCGTTATTCCCACAGCGTCGGAAAACCAGTCCTCCAAATTCATGAAAATTAGGCTGACTGCTGGGGTCAGCCTGCAACTTAAGGATGGGACTAAGGTCCGGGTCCTTGATAGTGTGTTCTACGATCTCCTCCTTCAGTTCCTTCCAGGTCGTAGGAATTCACAAGGCAAGTCATATACTCGGGGTGGCACGACAACGCATCAGCAACTCAATGATAACAACCGTTTTTATGTTTTAGCTTGAAGTAAAAAATGTCAATCTCGTGGAACTAGCGAAGTAATGTAGGGGACAAGGTGTTTTTATCTTTGATCCACTTCAAGGTCTCATGATCTGAGAACACTTCGAAGTGGCATCCCAAAAGATTATGCTTCCAGTGATCCAAAGCCATACGCAAAGCATAAAGCTCACTCATGTAGGTGGCATTAGCTACCTTTTCACTGACATGCGTTTGTTGTAGTACTCGAGTGGCCGCAAGCCATCACTGTCATCTTGTTGCAACATTGCGCCAATTCCATACTGGCTAGCATCCATAGCGCCTCCGAATGTTAGTTTGGAATCTGCAATGCGGCGTACAAGGTAACTTACCAAGGCCTCTTTCAAGGGTTGAAATGCGGTCTCACATGTTGCATCCCATGCGTAAGGTACGTTCTTACTTGTCAGTCGAGACAACGGGCGAGCAACAACAGAAAATCGGGGCACAAACTTCCGATAGTAAGGTGCGAGACCAAGGAAAGAACGCAGTTCGAGAATGTTCGCGGGTTGAGGCCTGTCACGTATGATCTCAACCTTGGTTACCTCAGGCTCGAGGCCTGCAACAGACAACCGATGCCCAAGATAGATGAAGCTATCCCTCCCAAACTCGGATTTCTCTAAGTTGAGGTGGAGTTGCGTTTTCTTGAGGATGAACACTTCCTCTAGGTGCTTCATGTGTTCCTCGATGAATTTGCTGAAGATCAGAATATCATTGAGATACACCACCACAAACCGACCAATCTATTTGCGGAGGACCTTGTCCGTAAGGCTTTGGAAGGTGGCCGGTGCGTTCGTGAGGCTGAAGGGCATTACGGCAAATTTGTAAAGCCCATTGCGTGTCTTGAACACAGTCTTGTGCTGGTCCGCAGGG